CACACACACACACACACAAAAAGAAATGAATGGATTTTAGTTGTGTGTGTGTGTCTGTGTGCGTGTATTTAGTATATTATTATCACTTAGTATTTTAGTATTTTTATTTTTCAGAAAACAGTTTTTAAATTCTCTCCTATAGAACTTGGCGTAAACAGATAATTATCACTGCCTTTAATCTCTACTTTCAGGAACTGAGCTAAAATGACAGAATTACAATTTGTATTCAGTATTTGAACAATTCTAACCTATAATTAATCTATGTAATTAAAAAAAAAAAAGGAGAGCATGGTGCTGACACCACCGAGTCAAGGGTTAAGATCCCCTTACCAATCTTTTAAAAATAAATAAATAAATAAATAAAAATAAAATGCTAGTCTCATTTTGACTTTTCACCCCTTCTTTCCACACATAGTTTTAGTATCTTTCCCCCGTGGACCTCCCCATCTTCTCTGTCAATCCTGCCTGGCTTGTACCTCCATGGCTGGCATTACTATTATATCTCAACATCCAATTGTCTTCTACATGAGAAGTCTGTACTTCCCCAGTGCCTTGACTTTATGTATGGCCATGTGACTTGCGGTGGCAAATGATATGTGAGCAGAAATGACCCGTGCCAACTTTCCAGCCTATTGTGTTGAGAGGTGACTGAGGAAGCACATGGTGATATACAAATCCAAGAGATGAAAGCACCCTGGAATTCTGAGGCTGGAGAACAGCCATCCAGAATAACCAGGACCCACAGTAGACCGAGGGAGTGCTGGGATTTGGGTGTTTATAATTGCAGCATAACCTATCTTGATTGGTACCTGTTCCTGTGATTCACCTCCGCTGGGCCTCTTATATGGCTACTTTTTTTTGGCAGCTGGCTGGTACAGAAATCAAACCCTAGACCTTGGTGTTATCAGCACCATCTTCTAACCAACTGAGCTAACCAGCCAGCCCCCAAATTCAGGGTTTCTAAACCTTGCACTGTTGACATTTTGAGTAGGATAATTCTTTGTTGTGAGGGGATGTCTTGTGCATTGTAGAATGTTGAGCAGCATCTCAGGCCTCTGCCCAGATCTCTGGCCAATAGCATACCCTGTCCCAGTTATGACAACCAAAAACGTCACTAGACATTGCCAATGTCCACTGGGAGAAAATTATCCCTGGTTGAAAACTACTGGCCTGGGCCGAGCCCGTGGCGCACTTGGGAGAGTGCGGCGCTGGGGGCGCAGCCCCATCGCTGGTTCGGATCCTATATAGGGATGGCCAGTGCGCTCACAGCGCTCACTGGCTGAGCGCAGTGCGGCCGGTCTCAAAAAGGACAAAAAGAAAAAAAAAAAAAAAAGAAAACTATTGGCCTAAAAGAATGTGTGTGTGTGTGTGTGTGTATGTATTTTTTTTTTTTTTTTAAAGATTACCAGTAAGGGGATCTTAACCCTTAGCTTGGTGTTGTCAGCACCACACTCAGCCAGTGAGCTAACTGGCCATCCCTATACAGGATCCGAACCCACAGCCTTGGTGTTATCAGCACCACACTCTACCAAGTGAGCCACGGGCTGGCCCTAGAATGTATATTTTGTAATAGATGTTGCTGAATGATGACAATTTAAAGAGCATATTAAGTTTGTGTAAAAAATTATCACAATCAATATTTAAGAAAAGACACAGTAGGTATTTCAATGAAAGCAATGGTCCTGCCATTCTTTATTTCTCATATTTATATATACTTACAGAAGAAAAATAGTTGTAAGTTCTGATCATTATACAGATTTTTTGTATGTGTGGTTGAATAACAGAATGAACTTCTGACTTTTTAAAATATCTTTAATGTTTGAGTATACAAATTATGATATAATAAACATTCAATAACTAGAGTAAGCAGTAACCTCAAAATGAAAGACATTTAGTACCCAGTAAAAGTAACGAAATGCAACATCATTGGAGACGGGATCTCCTAGACCTGTCTTCACACCATAGATTCACAATCAGTCACAGTTAAGAAACTTGGGTGAAAAAATGTATGAAGGGGAATCTCCATAGGTTTTTGTAGAGTTAGAAGACTTTAGCTTTAGAAGAATAACATGTGAATTAGTTTTTCCCTTATAATGTCTTGAAAAAGTTGTATCCTGGGGCACTATAAAGAAAGTGAGTAAAACTGTTTTGTTGGTAGTCAACAGCTTCAAATATTGGTTTTCATTTCTTAAAACAATGAAATACTTTTCTATAAAAGGCTAAAGGCACAGTGAAACAATGAATATTCACACTTCACTATTTTAGAACTCAATTCAAAACACAAAATAATTCAGGTGGCCAGCACCCAATTTGTCCTGTAGGTGGCAAAATTATCACAAGAGGAATCCAGGGACAGGATTCAGAATTGCTGTACTGAGGTTAATAGTGGTAGATGATTTAAAGCTTTACTTAAAATAGTTTTTAAAGTTTTTACAGATTTAAGGATGGCTTTTCTATTGCTCTGAATTAACAAAGATTTATTGTCTGAATAGTCACTACTAACGTTCAGAAATATGTTCTTTTATTTCCAAGGGGCTAGATTTTCAGTCTGATCATTATTTCCAAAAAAATTCCTCTCATTTTGCTCTTGTTGTCCAACAGGTTTTGCTTTATTGTATGATCTATTCAAATAGGAGGAAGATAGGTTTTGAAACTGGCCAGCTATGGAGTGTTTCATTTTTTAAAAACGTAGAGATATTTCCTAGCTCTCTCCTAGAAACAATGACCAACCTAGTAGTAACAAACATCTTTAGAGTCCAGACAATGGGTCTGAAATACCATTTCTCATGAAAAGAAACCAGGCTTCTTAGAGAAATAGTTAATTCCAGGTCTGGGGCAGGAAACATAATAAATCAAGCCTGGGATAACTTGTCTTAGGAAATAGCAGGAAGTTATTAAAGACACCTAGAGGGTGTCAAATGAACTCAGAGCCAACTCGATGAGACTCTCAATGGCCAAAGATAAGACAATTTGAGCTTCAATAAAGTAATATTTGTACTGGTTTGAAGCTCATTAAATATGTTTGAATCCTTGAGTTCACAATACTTTTAAAAAAGTGATCTCTGGAAGATGATAGGAAAGAAGTTTATTATCTTGAAAACTGGTAAATAAAAAAAATAGTAAAATATTTGTTTTCCCTCTCCTATATAAACTCTACCACTGGTTAACCAAATAGCAGATATGGGGAAGCATCTCTTTATGAAAGTGTTCCAACAAATAAAAAGAAATCATAGAATTAGAATATTCTACAACTCACAATGAATTAACAGATGTAAGAATTAAGTGTTAATTTCAGCTAATGTGTCACAAAAGGAATCAGGTATTAAGTGCTGTCTGACGAAAGATCACACCATGACCTATAGTCTTGCCAAAAGGATTGAACCTGAATCTGCTTAAACCATTGGATCCATGTGTCAATTGTCAATACCCAGAGAATAAAGAAATATGCTGAACTGCACCATGAGTGTATAATCAGCAAAATACAGATTGTGGGAAACTCTATGGGTCATAAGACCAGGTTCTTCAACAGGTAATTTCCTTAATTCCTTTTAAGGAAAAGGAAGGAAGAAGGGGAAACCTGTAGATTAAAAAAGATGTAAAGCAGGCTGACCAGTCAGCTCAGTTGTTTAGAGCATGGTGCTGCTAACACCAAGGTCCAGAGTCCAATCCCCATACCAGCCCAGCCACCAAAAAAAAATAAACAATTAAAAAAAGAGAGAGAGATAAAAAGAGATGTAAAATATATGTTTGATAAAGCAATTTCTTTTTGTCTTTTTTACTGACCGGTAACGAGATCGCAACCCTCGGTGTTGCACCTGCACCGCGCTCAGCCAGTGAGCGGGAACCGGTCTCCACATGGGATCCGAACCCTTGGCGGGAGCACCGCCGCACTCCCAAGCGGCGCACTCTCCAGTGCGCCACCGGACTGGCCCTGATAAAGCAATTTCAATGGATAAGATTAAAATATAGAGATATGCACTTGGGTGGCAACAAAATAAAGAAATGCAAGGAAGTGATTGCTGTTGAAATTAGTGTAGTGGTTACTTTTGTGGGGTTGTAATTGTGACAGGACATAATGAGGACATATGCGGTGACTGGCAGAGTTCTAAAAGAGTTTTCCTTATAACAATACATTAAGTGATCAATTTTGTGTCTGGTCTTCAGTATTTGTGTTTTATTTTATAATTTTTAAAAGGTTAAAATTTAAAAAAAAAAGTCAAAGCCCTTAGGATTTTCCACTTAAAATTATGAATGTAAATACTACTGTAAATATCAACTGATGGTTCTTAAGAAATTGCCTATATTACAGAAATATTTCTAAATAATAATCTACAAATATTTGAAAAATATAATATTAAATTCTTACATGTGCATAGTTATAAAAAGTCAAAGAATTGAGTATATATTTCTAACACAAAATTTATTTTGTTACAGGTTTATGTAATACGATTTGGTTAAATAGACTTTGTTGACTTCCAAAATTTTTCTTTCCTACTCCCATATAAGATTATTCATGTTATTCTATCAGAGATTAGAACGAGAGCATTGGAACATATTTCACATTTCCTTGAATGTCCACACTTTGTTTCACTCTCTATCTTTTTACACAGAACAAAGATTGATTATCTTGCCTAACCATAATGCTAGTTATTAATATATAGCGTTCCACAGTGTCATCCAATTTGCAATGCAGATCCTCCACCCACATACACAGCCTGTGTCTCTTCCATATATTAATGACTGATGGAAACTATTTTTTGTTGTTAAATATCTAAGAAACTCAAGAATGTAAAACAGATTTAAACCATCAAAATGAAAGCAGTTTTTAAATGCAATATAACAATAAACATATACAAACATAGAACTGTTTTGTACATTTTTGCCCATCAAACATTGACAGTATCCCTCCAGTTGTTCAAGCAGCATCTTAAATGGTGCAGTTGAATGGTTCCTTCCACCATCCTCTTAATAAAATTAAGTGGTGTTTGAATGATTCACAAATTCAAGAAGTGACCGGTCTAAGACTCTTCTTATAAGAGCTTCCTCAATTATATTAAAATCCTACAATAAAGAAAAATAATTAGCAATACACAATCAGAGTTATAGTGTTTCAGGAAGTGGAGAATGACCAATGCAATGCCCTCATTTTGCAGGAAATTAAAGCCCTGAGTTAAGTGACTTGTCCAAGGTACCACAGAGACTGTCACAAAACCCTGGACTTTTGCTTTGGAGCTAGAGTATTTTCTATTTCACTTTACTGCCTATTAACAAGTTATTGTCGTAATAAAATGGTTTTGATTTGGAATTTAAAGTTTTTCTCTGATCTAATTAGTTGTTTTTAGTCAACATTACAAATCCTAGTCAGACTGCTATGTTCCACATAAACATGTAACATAGATCAAAGATAAGACACCCCCCACAGGATTCATCAATGCCAGCAGAACTACTATCTACGACGGTCTTCAAAAAGTTCATGGAAGGATTCATATTATCTTTTAATTCTATTTTTCCAAAAACTTTTTGAAGTACCCTCATATTTCTGAAAAAAACCCAAAACTTTCTCAAAATGGAATTTAAAACTTTGTCAACACATTGTACAAGTAAAACAAAAACTATTAAGAGCCCCATCCTCTGCAATCCCTCTCCTCTTCCACAATAAATAAACAAATGAAAATCTCTATTGGAAGTCCTCATATTTCTGAAAAAAACCCAAAACTTTCTCAAAATGGAATTTAAAACTTTGTCAACACATTGTACAAGTAAAACAAAAACTATTAAGAGCCCTATCCTCTGCAATCCCTCTCCTCTTCCACAATAAATAAACAAATGAAAATCTCTATTGGAAGTTCATTCTAAAACAAAAATAAACAAAATCCAAAGGAATACCATAAAGCACAAGGTCTGGACTCAATACCGGCTTGATCTTAGGCAATTTAGTTAACCTTTGAACTTAAGATATTTCATGGTTAAATGAGGATAAAAATACATACAGTATTCACCTGACAGAGGTTGCTGCAAGGAATAAAATGAGATAATACATATAAAGTGCCTAATTTAGTACATGGTAGTTTAGGGAAAAATCAAATAACACTATTTCAAGCTCACTTCCATACCCGAGAATATGGTTTTGAGTGGCTAGAAGGTATTTTCATTAAAGCAGCTTCATCCTGGCTCATACTTTGTCTGTAAGACCTTGAGAATAATAAACTGAACATGAGTAGCCAGAAAAGGCACTGTATCAACCTGGCTTTTAGGACATCTTCTGGAATTAAGGTAAGGAGGAATCCCCCCATGTTATCAATGAGAACACATGGACCAGAACCAGGCTCTACTGAGGCCTTGTGTGCCTTAGGGCTAGAAAAGACATGATTAGAGACATGGAGTGGAGAATATGAAGCCTCTGTCATATACCTTGTTCAGTTCTTCAAGTGGTCCTAATAATCCTACTTACTCCTTCCCCTTCTCCAACTTGCCTAACATCTATGCCCAAACTATGCAAATCACTTTATATGTATTATCTCATTTAATCCTCACAAGAGCTTTTGGGAGCAGGTTCTTTTTCTCTCCTCACTTAACAAATAAACAGAAGTTCAGAGGTTAAAGACCTTCCCCAAGGTTGCACAGCTGTGATAGAGGTATTACTTAAGCCTAGAACCCAAGCTCCTTGGGTCCAATTGGATAATGGGCAAATCACAAAGCATAGAGAAAATTTTCAAATGACGATCTTCAATAATTATTAAATTTTATCATGAAAGTGCTTACAAAGAAAACATTCAAAAGCATGTGAAAATTATATGCAGATTCAAATTTGGCCCTTTACATTTCATGTATTTAGTTAAAAATAACAAAATATATTATTTCAAAACATGGCTATGAGTGCCTTTTTCCCCCCCATGATAGGCAATACACTTTTACTGAAAGGGACTTAGGAAACAATACATTGTCCCTACAAGGCAACATATGGATCCAAGTAGAGCAAGGGCTACATTAACTTTTTGTTTGCTATTCTCATTTCTGATGATGGGAATATATTCTTAAGTATTAAAACTATTCCCACTATACATAATGTTTCTTCCATCTTTAAAAAACTCAATATAACAAGAATGGCCCTGAGTTAGTTACTGAGGCTAGGTCATGGGTATTTAGGGAATCATTATGTTATTATGTCTACTTTTAAATGTTTCAGATTTTTTCACAATAATTTTTTTTAAGTTTAATAACTACAACAAACATGAGTTTTGTGTTTTATAGAATTTAAATAAAAAATGAGAAGGCCCATACGTCTTACTACACTGATAATGTCATATCTGTTATTAGTGTTCAAAGTACTATAAAAGCAACTGGATGCAAAACAAACTCAGAGCCATTTCATTACTGATGTGATTTCATCTCAGCTATACAAGTTTTTTTTTGTCTTTTTCCGTGTCCGGCAATGGATCACAACCCTCAGTGTCGCCCCTGTACCAGACCGGGACCGGCAACGGGATCGCAACCCTCGGTGTTGCCCCCGCGCCTCACTCAGCCAGTGAGCGGGAACCAGTCTGTATGTGGGATCCGAACCCTCGGCGGGAGCGCCGCCACGCTTCCCAAGCGGCGCACTAGCGCAGTGCGCCACCAGGCCGGCCCTACAAGTTCTTAACTTTGTAAAAATTATAGCCATAAATAGGGAGGAACTAAAGTAAAAATTTAAATAATTTAAAAGCTAAATCTGGCTCTTCATACAATGGCTGATTAGTTCACAAAGAAAATAATTTTGTTCAAGGCAGATAACTACTTTAATATTAATAGTCAAATTTATGAAACATTCTATTTTCATGATTTCCTACTTAATGCTAACACTTAATATTTTAGCTACATACCATACACATTTTTTCCTCTGTAATTTTATTCACTTGGATAAAAAAGATAAGCTTAACACAGATAGTATAAAAACATAATGTGAAAGTAAAAAAATATACTTACTATGAAATCATCATAAAACAAAGTGTGACTAACTTGCAAATGTCTTATTAAACTGCCATTGAAGCTGCTTGAATTCTCATTAGGTATTAAACGGCAAAGTGGGCAGAACTGGAAGGAAACAAGATCAAGAGTTCAAGAAAGAATTTAAAAATAATTATTAGTGTCAGAATTTAAAAAGATAAGTAACCACTCAACAAAGTGAATTTTAACTTTATGAATCCATTGTCTGTACCTCAATATTATGTTGTAAAATTGCATAAATATTAAAGCAATACCAAACAAATAAAATTGCATTTATTTCTGCATATGCATTTCTTGTCCATGTGCATACATTGCATTATAACTATTTGTTTCATATTTATCAATTTATTAAACAATATTACAGTTAGTAGATATACAATAATTTACTTAATTAGTCGTTTACCTCTTGTAATATTAAGGTTTTTTTTTGTATGTGGATATTTTGTTATTGCAAATGACATTATCTATAGTGTTTACCTTTTAGGGGATTACTTCCTTAGGATAAATGGCCAAATATGGAAATTAAGAGGTCAACGGTTATGAACATTTACGGTTCATAATATCTATTGCTCTATAGTTTTTTTTTTTTATCACCAGCATCAATATAGATTACAACACACCAGCATTAGTTATTAGTGTTTACATGTATTTTCCTAAATTAATAGTCATTAATGGCACTTTTTCAAAAAATTTCATTTAGGGGCCGGCCCGGTGGCGCACTCAGTGGAGTGCGGTGCTTGGGAGTGCAGCGGCGCTCCCGCGGAGGGTTCAGATCCCATGTGGAGACCGGTCTGCTCACTGGTTGAGCGTGGTGCGGGTGCGACACCGAGGGTTGCAATCCCATTGCCGGTCGCGCAGTACAGGCGCGACACTGAGGGTTGCGATCCCGTTACCGGTCACGAAAAAAGACAAAAAGGAAAAAAAAATCTCATTTGGAGATATTTATAAACTCACAAGAAATTATAAAAATAACGCAGAGAGGTTGCATATCCCCATCACCCAGCTTCCCCAAATGGTAACATCTGACATAACTATATACAGTACATTGTCAAAACCAGGAAATTGGCAATTGACTAGACTACAACCTTAGATTTCCCCAGTTTTTGCATGTAGTCATGGTGTGTGTGTGTGTGTGTGTGTGTGTGTGTGTGTGTGTGCAGTTCTATGAAATTTTACAACATGTACAGATTCATATAACCACCAGCACAATCAAGCTACAGAACTGTCACCGCAAAGGAACTCCATTGTGCTGCTTGCTACCCCTTTATTTTATCCTCTCTCCCTAACTCCTGGCACCCATCAATTCATTCTCCAGCTCTATCATTTCATCACTTTTTTTTTTTTTCGGTGGTATGACCAATAATTTCATCATTTTGAGAATGTTATATAAATAGAATTGTACAGTATCTAACCTTTTGATATTGGCTTTTTCCAATGAGCACGATGACCTTGAGATCCATCTATGCTGTTGTATCAATACTTCCTTTTTATTGCTGAGTAGTATTCCATGGTATGGGCATACCACAGTTTGTTTATTCATTTACCTTTTGAAGGACTCTTGGGTTGTTCCCACTTTTTGGTTGTTACAAATAAAGCTACAATGAGTATTTGTGTACAGATGTTTATGTAAACCTAAGTTTTCATTTCTCTAGGATAAACTTCTAGGACTGTGGTTGTTTGGTCACATGGTAAGTGCATGTTTAACTTCGTAAAAAAACTACCAAACTGTTTTCCAAAGTGGCTGTACCATTTTACATTCTCATCAGCAATGTGTGAATTATTCATTTTTTCCTCATTCTCACCAGCTTTTGGTACTGTCAAAATTTTTTATTTTAACCATTTTAATAGGTATGTAATGGTATCTCACCATGGTTTTAATTTGCATTTCCCTAATGGCTAATATAAGTCACTCCTTTAACATATACTACTTTATTACACTTTAACCTAGGCTATTTATTTATTTATTTATTTTGGCAGCTGGTCAGTACAAGGATCTGTACCTGTGACCCTTGGTGTTACCAGCACCATGATCTAACCAAGTGAGCTAACCAGCCAGCCCCTGTTTTAGTACATGTTGTTAGGCATTAAATTAGGTGGTATTCTCATTCGATCCTCATAACCTGGTAAACTAATCATTATCCTTATTTTGCTGATGAGCCTCATTACAGCTAGGAAAAGAATAGCTTAAAGTTACTCAGCTATACACATCAGATCTGGAAGATAGGCCTCTAGTAGATAATCCAAGGTTCTTTTTATAACAGTGTCCAATTTATCAGCTTGGATAATAATGTTTTTCTTTAAATTTAAATGAGGTCTTTATATAATTCTTTTCTTTCTTACTATTTTATGAGGATCTCAGTTTCAATATACTCAATTTCTATAAATAAAGGTCTATTTCTTAATTGTGCCTGACTCCATTAATCTTTGTCTTATTTTTAATAAAATTATATCCTTTTAATTATTATTGCTTTATAATCATGTATGGTTTTCTAATGCTTTAGCTATCTTGATTAATTGGCAACACTGGCTATCCCAAGGTAGCACTTAATCTACCCTGAGACCACTATGTATAACAGAAAAAGAGTTGAGACAAGAAATATTTTTACATAACAACAATGTTAATATTTTGTGGTGTGGAAGAAGGAACACTAGTTACAGAAATTTGTTCATTCCACAGTTTTTAGTGTGTCTCTACTATGTGCTAGGCACCTGGAATATGGAGATGAGTTAGATACTTTGGAGTCAGACAACTTGGGGTTTAAGTCCTAGCATCAGCTGTTACTATCTATGTGACCTTGAGTACAAACATTTCCTCTTCTGCGAAATGGTGATAAAACCACCTGCCTTGCAGAGAAGCTATAATAGTTAGAGATAATGTTCTTAATGTGCCAGGTACATACAAGGCATTCAATACATGCCTTACATTTACTACTATTTGACCCTTGTCCTTGAAGAGTTGGGCTCCGTGAGGGAAGAAGCTGTATGTGTCCTGCCGACCCCTACATTCCCAGTACCCAGAAAATAGTTTCCACTTTCATCTCAGCCTCTCACTAACTTTCTTGTGGTAAGTAATTAATCTTAATCTGTAAAATGAGAATTATTTCTGTGTTTCAGTGCTATTGGTAGATTTAAAACAATGCATCACTTAATATTATGAAGCTCAGTCATTACATTAGCTCAGTCCTTGGCACAAGTAATAAATGGTTGCCATTATTATCACTTAAGCAGATGCTTTCAATGCAGTGTAAAAAGCACTATACTTCAAGATATGAATACACAACAGTTCAAGACCTAAAAAGAGAATTATTAATTTTTGCCCAGGAAGTCTGGAAAGGCTTCAGCAGAGTTGCTGATAACTGAAGGGAGTCTTGAGTGAACCAGCCAGGCCAGTGGGGAGAAGCAAAGGCAGAGGAATCAATGTGGGAAAAGGCAGGAAGTCCTAAAAAGACAGGGCCTGCTTAGGCAATGGAAAAAGTTTGGTGTAGCTGAAGGTAGGGCACGATGCGGGAAGTGGTGGGAGATGAGTTAGGAAAGATAAGTTGGGACCAGTTCTGCTCACTATTTATTCTAGCATCTAACATGGTTTCTGTAGGTCTCATGCCATGAGCCAGAAGTACGGAGATGATTATTCCCTGGTCCCTATCATTAAGGAGCTTATTAGAGTCAAATGGAGGAGACAGATACAGAAAACTTGGAATTTTAAGCAAGAGCTTTGTTTTTATGATGATGTTGATAGGGAACTAGTGGAGGCTTCCGTCTTCTGGTGTACATAAAATTTAGTTGTGTGACTAAGGTGATATCTATCAGAAGGACATCGCAAAACAATGGGCTAAAGTCTACACTACCTAAAGACCTACTTTTGTATCTTAAATTTGGAGATTTCACCTGAGGGAGGACAGGGTAAGAACAGGAAGAGGAAAAAAGTCTATCAGAAGGACATCGCAAAACAATGGGCTAAAGTCTACACTACCTAAAGACCTACTTTCGTATCTTAAATTTGGAGATTTCACCTGAGGGAGGACAGGGTAAGAACAGGAAGAGGAAAAAAATGGTAGGTGAGAGGAAGATTGATCATTACATAAGTACCTAAGTATTCAGCTACACTCTCCCTAGTGTTACCAACTTCCTAACATCAGGTCATCCTTTATTATTTGTCTCTGCTCAATGCTCCCAGGCCATACTACTTATATTAGGAACCAGCAATTGTACAGGGTACATTCACAAAGAGGCTGGCCTCACCTCAGTATGAGCAGCTGGCCAGTACAGGGATGGGCCCTGGACTTTGTTGTTACCTCACTCTAACCAACTGAGCTAACCTGCCAGCCCTCCCTTAGAATAAAAGGTCCTTTAGGGCAAGAGCAAATCATATTTATCTTATTTCCTTATGCCTAGCACCTATCATAATACTTGGCACTTAGCAGATACCTCATGAATAAAAAATTCATTTTTAGGATAAAGATTTCTAGTGACTTTCTTTTTCTTCCCATGGAGTTATTCCCCAGTTTTGTTTTTTCAAATGTCTTCTATTTTGGTTACTGGAAGCTGGGAAGCAGAGGGGGGTAGAGAGAATAGGGAGAGGTTGGTTTGTGGAGGATATTGACATTAACGAGATAGAAATAAAGCACATGTATTTCACAGGGCCAAAGCCTATAGCATAGAAGGACCAAAGTCCTGTAGCGTAGAGGACCAAAGTCCTTAGTTTAGGCTGTAGCATAGAAGGACCAACTTCCTGTAGTGTAGAAGGTCCAAAGTCCTTAGTTTAAGCCAAAGCCCAACTCTTTAGGAAAACACGTAGAATTGCTAAGATTAAGAAAGACCGGGAAACTTTCACAGGACTAAAGCCTTTGATTAGATAAGAGAATCAAAGCACAGCAAAAAGTGATTGCTCTGGGGGCAGTTGCCCTTGGTGCAGCTAAACCTAAATGATGGGAAAGCGTGTGAGCTAAAATCTTCAAGGATATTCTGCTAGTTAGTGCTTGCTGGATGTTCCACATCTTGCCCTAAGCTGTTTCTTTGAGTTTCTTGGGGAGCTAAGCACTGCTATGGTGATTATCTCATTGTTTCTTTTTGTACCTCACAAAATTTAGTTTTATGAGTCCTTCTGATGGTAAATTGCTTGAACTATTTTAAGTTACACCTGCTTTAATGAAGATTGTCATGTAGCCAGTTTGTTTATATTTTCACTATGATTGACCACCTGTACTGCTTCTGTAACTTTGTCTTTACAATAAAAACTGAAGCAAAACCTGACTCAGGGCTGTGCCAGGGCTCTCTTCTCTTGAAGTTTTCCCTGGGTGCAGTCCTCATTGCTCTGAATACATGGGCTCTGAGTAATCTTTTGCATCTCTGTCACTCTGCAAGAGGTGACATTGGTTAATGGACACAAAATTACAGTTGGATAGGAAAAATAAATTCTAGTGGTGTACAGAAGAGCTAGGCATCTATAATTAACAATAGTTTACTGTACGTTCTCTAATAGCTAGATGAGAGAAGCTCAAATGTTCTCAAGACAAAGAAATAAATTTTTGTGATAATAAATATGCTAACTACCCTGATTTGACAATCACACACTGTATACATGTATTGAAATATAACCCTGTACCCCATAAATATGTATATTTGATACATTTCAATTAAAAAGTAAATAAATCCCTTTATTTATTTATTTATTTTTCCTTTTTGTCTTTTTTACTGACCGGTAATGGGATCGCAACCCTCGGTGTCAGAAAGGTAGAAAATAAAAGACTACTGGAACTTTTTAATCTGGGTATACAGAATTATGTTTTTGCAAGGGTTTGGTTCCCCTTACCAGCCAGCTGCCAAAAAGAAAGAAAGATTAAGAATCACCAATGTAAGGGCTTCTGAGAATATATAAAATGTACAAAAATCTTCATAGGAACACGTGACCTTTGATCATCAGTGTCACAGATATCAGCATCTAACATGGGTACATTAGGATAAATTTCCCAAAGTTCCTCACACCTAACACCAAAGACACAGAAATGGATTTGATACTGCTCCATGTGTACACGGTGGTATGCCATCCTGTCATCCTGTCCCCATCCGAGTCTTTCTGAACTGGTCCTTGTCAGGGTCTTCAAAAAGGTATCCCTTCATTATCCCATTAAGACTAAGTATAATATCACTGACAGAACACAAGCAACAGGGTAATCGGCTTTCCAGTTCTCCAAACCTTGCTTTTTTTCCCACTTTTGTACTGTTATAGGGAATCCCTAAAAGAATATATTTCTCAGTACAGGTCCTCAACAATCTTCATTGTGAGTGAGGTATATTTTACATGATAAAACTTGAATTCTGAGGCTGGCTATTTAGCTCAGTTGGTTAGAGCGTGGTACTGATATCACCAAGGTCTGGGGTTTGATCCCTGTACAGGCCAGCCACTAAAAATAAATTAAAAAAAAAACAAAACTTGAATTCTGTTTCTAAAGTCTGTGCATGACTGATTTAATAAAAAATATGAGAAAAGGTGGCAGACCTTAATTTTTTCTGGTACCCTTTTCTTAAGTTCTAAAAGCTTAGATGCAATAAACAACATATTTTTCTGTTGAGGGCTTTCAGTCGCCAAGTGCTGTCTATAAATGCAATCTAGTACTAATGTTCTTTAATAAAGAGCATGTTCTATCATGTTCTTCTGAAGTCAGAAGAAAAATTCTAAGAGTACAAGTGTAAAAGAGTTGGAAGACAGTGTACTCATGTTACAGACATCTCAAGATGCAAAGGATTCCATCCTTCAAAACATCTATGACAACACTCAGTTCTGTCCGTGGTTCAGATTAATCTCCATAACAACTCAGCCAATTACAGAACACTTTCCATGTGAGACAAATGCCACTTGGGGAAGTAATTAAAGATTACTGAATTCAATACCAGAAGAAGAGAAAAGAGACATGCACTGAAAATATTTACAGGCAAATATGGTACCAAAATCAAGGTACCAGATTGCATACCTAATTTAGTAGGAGTCTGAAAGCAAACTAATGAAGGTTTTTCTTTTGTTTCTTTGTGGTTTTTTTGATGGCTGGCTGATACGGTTGGTTGATCCGAACCTGTGACCTTGGTGTTATAAAGCAGTACTCTAACCAAGTGAGTGAACTGGCCAGCCCTAATTAAGGTTTTTCTTCCTTCCAAAACATTTTTGTACCTACATCCCCACTGCCTAGTTAAGTCACAGATATTGTACATACTCATGGAAATAAACAGATGTGAGGAATGGTGGCTCAGGCTGTAGTCAACACAGTTTACATTTCAAAACCATAGAAATCCTGTCCCTTCCTTAAAAAATGAACCTCTAGAGAAAGGTAGAAAATAAAAGACTACTGGAACTTTTTAATCTGGGTATACAGAATTATGTTTTTGGTTTTATTTGGCAGCTGGCCGGTGCAGGGATCTGAACCTGTGACCTTGGCAAGATAAGGCTGTGCTCTAACCAACTGAGATAACCGGCCAGCCCCTATGTTTGCTTTTTTTTATTTTTTTCCTTTTTTTGTCTTTTTTCGTGCCCGGCAACGGATCGCAACCCTCAGTGTTGTGCCCGTACCGGACCGGGACCGGCAACGGGATCGCAACCCTCGGTGTTGCGGCCGCACCTCGCTCAGCCAGTGAGCGGGAACCGGTCTGCATGTGGGATCCGAACCCTTGGCGGGAGCGCGCCGCCGCACTCCCAAGCGGCGCACTGTAGCAGTGCGCCACCGGGCCGGCCCCTATGTTTGCTTTTTTTAATATCCTTTTTTCATATCACTATATCCTACTATGTGCTAGGCACTCTGTCAAGAACTGGGCACACAGTATGGAGCAAAGAAGTTAAGTTCCATAACTTTATGAACCTAATAATTTAGGAGAGACAGATATAAAATGAATGCACAATTACAAATTGGGGTAAATACTGAAAAAAGAGGGAAGAAAAGCCAGAACTGAAATGAATTTGAGTGTCAGGGAGGGATACCCTGAGGAAATAAGATTTAAGATGAACTCTAAAGGGTGAGTGAGAACCAACCAGTGAAAGAAAAAGCACTTTGGGCAGAAAGAATACCTAGAAAGTATGGCTCTTGCTAAAATATCTCCCCTTTACAAGAGAAAATACCAAATTTCTCTCAGAAGTGGTCTCATAATTCAACCTAAAGTGTGCTGTTTGTGTCATCTGCCTCCTTTGAGTCTGATTTCCATAGATACAATTATTCAAAAAAAAATACAAGGCAGAATACAATTATAATGTGACAAAAAGGAGCTGTTGGCTCTTCAGGCTGCATATGAGAAAAGTCAAAGTCCCCTGGTGTCCTTAACCTGCTACATCGTCTTGAGCAGCTCAGAAGGAAAAGACTGGTTGTCTTGTGGTTTGATCTCTGAATATTTAATTATTTTTGGAAGGCAAAACCAGTTGCCCAAATCTCTAATTGCCATTAGAGAAAGAAACCTCTTACACCAGATAAGTCAGGTGATGTCACTGATCTTATCTGCTGGTAAAACCAGCAATCCAGTTATGTAAAGCAATAATTCCTTGATAACTTCCACATCAATCCAGAATCAGCACTGGACTTAGCTCTCCTTGCCTAGGACTTCTACCAGGGTGTTTTCACCTATGTGTTCCCACAGGGGATCCCTAAGCATGTGAACTCTAGCTATGCCACCTCTTTACTTCCAGACTTTTCATAAACACAGGTTACAACATTAGTTCTAGTAGCTCTAGATCCTTCAGAGTGACATGTGTCTCAAGCTTCTGCTCAAGAATGAAACACTTGGCCGGTTATTTAGCTCAGTTAGTTAGAACGCTATGTTATAAAACCAAGGTCAAGGGTTTGATCCCCTTACCAGCCAGTGCCAAAAGAATAAATAAATAATGAAACACTAACATAGGAAACAAGAAGGTCTTCTGTTACCAGTTACCACCTCTAAATGGCCCTAGGGGGTTACAGAAGAATGTGCTCCTGCCTGAAGGCCATGACAGCATCCTGGTCTTTGTGGTGG